CACTACCACATCTACCTGCTCATTGGGGCCCCATGATCCAGGTATGGTACAGTGCGCATCTCCAACTGGAACACATCTGGGAGCTGACAAAGGCAGAGCACACTAATCCAGGATGCCGTCGAATGGGAATAAGCCAATGCATGCTTTTTAGGTCAATGCCTCCTTTCCAACGTGCCTCAGTACGTGGACGGCATCATCCATTGATCTGTACATGACGGAACAAAGTTGTCGTTCACATTGAACCCCTCCTGGGCTGACAGGTTCGTAATGAGACACCATTTCCTGGACTGGTGTAGCTTGGGGATGACACAGAAGCGGGTTTTGTGCACCTTGAATCTACCGGGCTGATATATAAACCACCCCGCTGCTATCTCTCTGTCCAAGTGGTGCTTTATGGGCTCAGGGTGCTGGCTCACTGAAATGATGTTGCGGTCAGTGCTTCTGCGCACATGACTGTGGTTGTAACCAATCTTGAATCCGTCATTCAGACCAACCAGTAGTAAATGCGAAAACACCTCGTCGGGGTGACCTTTCAGTGCTTCTCTCCATGCCTTTCATCGTATATAGGGGGGTAGCAATCCGTCTCCAAGGTTAAGGAAGAGCGGGTGCCTCATGAGGTAGTCTGCACTATCTAAACTTTGTTAGGTCCTCTGTGTACTGTTAATGACCTCCGACAGCCACTCCTGCATCACTTACGGGCTCTCCCGTACCAGCCCCCCTCCACGCCAGCTTCGGTCACTAACTGGGTGGCCCCATACACATCAGTCGATTACATGACCACTACTTGTCTTGTATGCCCTGGGCCTGTTTTCGCCTCGCCCAGCAATCAATAGACCACATTTCCCCTGTCATCTTGCTGTACTTGTCTCGGGGTGACCTCTTGTCTTGCACTCCAAACGACTGACAGCTGATTATGCGGATTTGATTAGCGGTCCTCAGCAACGTACACAGTGGTGCTTGAACGTACACAACTGGAACGAACACTGCCGTTGGCCACACAAAGCAGGCCAGGGAATGCGGTCCTGGATTGCCATGGGGCCGCCTCCCAAGAGTATGGGTCCCTTGATGAGTTTGGGGCTTTGTGAGCATCTCCACTGTCCTTTTTCCTCAGCACACTTTCCTCCTCCCTGTGATCCGACTCCAAACAGATAGAGCAGTTCGCCCTTTTGCCTCCTAGTGCCATGAAGATTGAGGGGAACAAGTAAGGATCTAGCCGGTCGCTGCATTCGCCCTGCCACTGCCATTCCCCTACCATCTGCTGCCGGAAAATGGAGTCGTAACTTAGTTAGCTCCACCCTCAACACCTATGCACCTACTGGCCTAGCGAGCAATGAGGTTTTTGTAGGCTAGCAGATGGACCACTCTCTCCAGGTAGTTGCTCGCCACCACTGCTGCATATAGGCCAAAGCACTGCACCCACTCAGGAGGTCAGGTATTTCACGCCAAGGCCGTGATGTCTGCTGACTGGATGATCCTGTTGTATTCTCTGTGTCTTGTAGTACCTGCTGTGCCTCCTTGTTGTCGCGGAGGAGCTCAGCCATGTCCACAAAATTGCCTTTGAAAACCTGCCAACCAGCACAGGGGAAGACCCTAGCTTAGGAGGTGGGAGTGTCTACCTTCTTGCTCTTTCCTTTCTTGTTCCCGGGCTCTGATCCCCTCCTGACCCTGACCCTGCTCTATCCGGTGTTGACTGGAGGTCTCCGTCCTCAGTATCAGTAGCACGCAATTCCAATAAGTGCCACACAGCCTTGGCCACCCACTTTCAGTAAGTGAGCTTTCACCACACTGCCTGGGAATGGCCTGCCCCCACTTTCAATAAGTGTCAGTCTCCCCTATCCCTCCCTTCCAGTTGGTTCCTCCATGCCACATGGGCTTCATCTCCTGCTGAACACCCCCTCCCAGGGCTGCGACGCTTTCTCTCAGTGAGAAAGGGGACATATCTATATACCCCTCGGCTATGCTTGACCAAGTTATCTCTCCCCGGTTGGGCCACTGACTTAAGGAATGTGGGGGTTCCTGTGCGAATTGGCTCCGTCTGGCAACATCTCCTTTAGAACCCCAGGCAGTGAGGAGTGGTGCCAATGCTGCGTTGAGATGTCCCACTTCCATCCTTGGTTGCCATGATAGATGCTGCTTCCATGTGGAGCCTTTCTTTTTCATTGGGACGCCAACTATGGAGTTACTGTGTTTTCCTGTTTTATTAAAATTTGATCACTAAACGATTTCCTAGTAATCGATTGTAAATTTATTTCGTAAATGATTTTCGAAACGTGATGACCAACTTAATGATGAGCTTTATACCAGTGCTGCTACGGCTCCACACAAAGCACAGAACTTATCTGAACTGGCTTCGGTGCCATCCGTTTTATATCCGTGTTAGTTGCGTCTCGTAGCCGTCTGCCTCGGCCCCTGGTGAGGCACCTTCCCATCTTTCCCAACATAGTGTTGTATGCTTGCCAAGTGACAGACCATACCCATCAGATGAGCATCTAACATCAACGATAGTCGAAGCAATTAGAATCAATTCCGATCAATTTGACAGAATCGATTTAGATAATTGTTCTTACGGAACTCCTTTTTTCTCAAGAAATTCGAGACTGTTCGCTGAATTGATTACAAAATTTATTTTTGCATGTAAAGCAGCTTAGTAATAATTTTGCCTGAAACAGCATTGTATAGGTTTTGAGATTACTTGACACCTGCGAACTTTCTACCACAAAAGGTAGCACATTCACAGCGGTGTGTCCAGATATCAGGCATGGTGGTGCTAGATTTGAAGTAGCATTTGCTCATACTTGGTAACGATAATGTGCATGGAGCTAAAAAAAACTTGGCACACATGTGTTGGCATAATTGGTTAACTATGCTAATATCTCATGATATCTTGTTTCCCTTACACCCAACATTTAACCTTCCATGTAGAGTGGCTGGGCAGCCTTTCACATTGGATTTTACACCTTAATCCATTGGTCATCCATATTGAAATGATACTAAATGGATCAAGCGTACGATTTCTTACATTTGACTTGATCATGGTCACAATATTGTGTATGTATTTTTCCCTGTGCTGTATATTATATATGCAGGTATCAAACACAATGATGCAAATTTTGGTCCGGACCCCATCAGGTAAAACCCTAACACTAATGGTAGAGAGTTTTGACACGGTGAAAACTACAAAGTTGAAAATAGAGGCCAAAGACGGCCTCCCAGTCTATCGCCAAAGCCTGGTATACAATGGAAGTGAAATGGAGGACGAAATGATGCTTCGAGACTACCACGTAGTAAAGGCAAGTACCCTCCATCTGTACCTTAGTCTTAGCCCAGCAGATGAGATAAGGCTACGTGTGAGGCAACCTTCAGGTGAGGTGGTGTCAGTCATGGCAGAGGAAAGAGACAAGATCGAGGCTCTTAAGGCAGTGCTGGAGGCTAAACTAGGTATTCCACTAGAACATCAGCAGCTGTATTTCCAAAGCCAGCAACTAGAGAACCAGGTGTCGCTGAAGGAATGTGGCATTCAAGAAGGTTCAGAGCTGGGGCTGCTGGTTGTTGTCCCTATCACTGTCAAGACACTAACAGGCCAGGTCTTCCCTCTTGATATAGCCGCTAACGAATCAGTCTATGAAGTAAAGAAGAAAATTCAGAAAGTGGCAAAGATTTCACCAGAAAGGCAGCGACTTATATATGCTGGTAGGCCAATCGATGATAATGGTGCTTTAGACAACTATGGAGTCAACAGTGGGGCCGAGATATATGTAATTCGACGGCTTTACTTTTATAACTTGAAAATCAGAAAGTTTAAGAGCAATAAGTACATCAAGTTGAAAGTGGAATCCTCCACTACTGTCAAGAGAGTGAAGAAGATGATAGAGACAATAGATGGTACACCAAGCTGCCTTCAACAACTGACTCTATCAGGTGTTTGCCTGGAGAACAGGAGAAGAATGGGGTACTATCACACACTCATCTCAAGCAAATGTAGACTGGTCCTCAGAAGCCAACCACAGTACCAGTTGTTCATCAGAACTCTGTCGGGGAAGACCCTAGCACTAGGAGTGAGGGGTGGGGACACAGTGAGGGACATGAAGTCAGTCATCTATGAGAAAGAAGGGATCCCACCCGACCAGATGAAGGTGTTATCAGGTGGGAGAGTGCTGAGAGATGAGAAGAGGCTGAGGGATTGTGGTCTTCATAGTGGGAGTACTGTCAACCTCTCTCTGGGGCTCTTGGGAGGTTTTGAGATATTTGTAATAACTCCAATGGGCAAGACCATTACTATCGAAGTAGAGGCCACTGATTCAATTGAGATCGTAAAGAATAAAATTAAAAACAGGGAAGGAATAGACCAACAAGAACTTACATTTGCTGGTAAACACCTGGAGGATCCAAGAACCCTGTGTGACTATAACATTGAGAAGGAGGCAACACTTCGGCTAGGACAACACAAATGGCCAGTAATACTTGTCAAGCCACCGGAAGGAAAGGAATTCGTTCTTAACTGGGAGCCCAATTTAACTATTGAGGAGGTGAAGAATGAAATTCAAAAGAAGACAACACTACCACCAGACCAGCAAAGGCTTGTATTTGCTGGTAAGGTACTGATAGATAGAAAGACTTTGAGTGATTATATCATTGAGAGAGAATCAAAAATATATCTGGTCATTCGGCGTATGTATGTGAAGCAAGTGTCAGGCGAGATATTCACTGTTAACTGGGAACCCAGTTTTACCATTAAGGATGTGAAAACTAACATTCAAAAGAAGACGGGAATACCCCCAGAGAAACAAATACTAATATTTGCTGGTAAACAATTGGAAGAAGGACAGACCTTGGGTGATAATAACATCCGGAGAGAGTCTGTTCTTCATCTGGTCATGAGACCTCCAAGACGTGTAATAATGGTGAAGACCCCGACAGGCAACACACTCACTCTTGAGGTGAAGCCTAGCAACACAATTAAGGATGTGAAGGCTAAAATTCGAGATAAAGAGGAAATACCACTAAACGAGCAACTACTAATATATGACACTGAGGTACTAGAAAATGAATTTACTCTGAGTGACTATAAAATTCAGGAGGAATCTACGTTTCACCTGGTTAAGCTTAAAGAACGTGTGAACATAAGCGTGTGTATTTTAAACAGGCCCGAGAGGTCTTTTCCTTTAATGGTGTGTCTAAGTTATTCCACTGAGAAAGTGAGGAAAATAATTCACAACAATGAAGGGATACCAATAGACCAACAATACTGTCTTCTATTCAGAGGTACGACTATGGAAGATGGACAGATACTAAGTCACTATGATGTTCAGAGTGGTAGTAGTCTTGATCTCATTATAAAAATGCAGATACTTGTAAAAGCTCCAGGCAAGTTTTTTCGTCTGTATGTATTGCCCAGTGATACTGTTGAGAGTATAAAAGAGAAACTTCAAAACAAGATGGGGTTACCACCTGAAAAACAGTGTCTCCATTTTAATGGTAAGCGACTAGAAGACAAACAGATCCTGAATTACTATAATATTCAGAACGAGGGGATTCTTCAACTGGAAACTGTTGTGGAAGAAGGTTGTTCTTTGATAGGTATTAATAACAAGGACTGTCTTCCTTTGGTTCCTTTGAGAAGAGGAAGTACAACGATTTTTATAAACGGTTGTATCAAGAGGACTCTGCTAGTAGACACCAACTATACAGTCCAAGCTGTTAAGGCTATGATCCAGGGAATACCACCAGATCAACAACAACTCATATATGGTGAAACGTATATGGAAGATGAAAGAACCCTTAGTTATTATGGTGTGCAGCCAAGATCTATTTTTTATCTTAGCTTGAGGTTACCCATATATGTGAAGACTCAAGCAGGAGAGATCATACCTCTACTTTTGAATACCAATGATACCATTGAGAAAGTTAAAAGCAAGCTTGAAGTCAAGATCAGAATACCACCAAACCAACAAGAACTCATATTTTCTGGTGTGCAACTCGAAGATAGACAGACCTTGAGTTACTATGACATCTCCAGGAAGTCCATCCTTCATCTTGTTCCGGGAAAAGGTATGTCCCCCATTTTAATTTCTAGAGCAAGTCACAAAATTGTTGGCGAGCGGTAGTGAACTAATTCAGTGTGCACACTGCTCTCACCCAGCCTAAGCACTGAACGACACACCATCAAAACTGTAGCAAGGTGAATGGTCTAGCTTATAATGGTGCACGGTGCAGTGAGGCAATACTTTGCCAATAGAGTCTCTGCGACTGCAATAATTGCATCTGTTTGGCATACTGGCATAACATTTTGTGTCACATGCAAACAAATGTGCAGAAGGAAGCTGTACAGTATTTTGACGGAAGCTGCACAGTATAAAATACTGTACAGTTTCCTTTTGCACATATATTTTCATGTGACACAAAACGTTGTGCCAGTATGCCACTTGTGCAGATGCAGTAGGCTTGCTGCCGCTTGCATTTGCCAACTAGTTGCATTAACTTTCGGCACACTTGTGCAGCAATGGGTTTATATCAGGCTTATGTAGCTATCATCAATATATCCACGACTGTCATCTCAGTGTAGACAATAATAATAGGTTCTCCCAACAGCACACTCTTTGTGGCTTTGTGAAATCGTCTTTGATTGATTCACTCTTGGTAGCTTTGCGAAATCGTGATTCTGAAACAGGCACAGTATTATGACCCTTATAGATATCTGCGTATGCTTATAACAGACTTTTGTGGCTTTTAAAGGCTTAGCTAGGTGCTTTTACAGAGTATAGGGGTATTTGTAGGGGCTTGAAATCAGTCTTGTACCATCAAACTGGTATGTACCAGGCTCTTTTGCAGATTGATGGTCACAGTCTCGTTGTGACTTTTCAAGTGCATGTTACTGTTTTTAGCAAAATTCACCGGGGATCAGTATATGCTATGGAATTTTCCAGTACGCGCAAAGCCAAAGCGAGTTAAAAATGGACATACCCAACATGTGGTTATGAGCTCAAGTGATGTGACCTGCTTGCGTTGAGCATATACAAGGGGAAAAATCTTTTCTTCAAAATGAAGGGGATGGCTTGAAGGTAGAAACAAGGGGTCCATTACACACCAAATATGCACAAAGCCACATGACACCATCCCTATATCTTTGTATTAAACTTTGCTTATGAACAATAAAACAAAGATTATAGGGATGGTGTCATGCTATATAGCGGGTCTGAAGAAGAAGAAGAAGATGAAGAATAATTATGATGATGATGATGGGTAAATCGTGAAATCGAGTATGAGCGTATTCTCGTGTGGACGACTGAAGGTGCGCATGAGGTCTTGGGGGACATGTATAGGGCCCGTAGACTATTGCTAGTATGTTTTGAAGGCCTAGGGAGTGATTCTCACCGAGTTTTTGGTCGTTTTGTACGCGGATCACGTGAGATTTCACCCGTGTCATCCCTATATTAGAGAGTCTACTGACTCTCTAATAATATAGCTAGAAGGCAGAGAACGACACTGTATATAATGGGGAAATACCATTCGGTGAAGTCGTGCACTTCTCCCATAGAGAATGTACGAGGAGGAATATGGGAGCGTGCACTTAGAAGCAGTCTGCTAGTGCACTAGTGCAATCAATAGAAAGAGAGTGTAATGAGATTGTAAAACAAGGTGCCAAAGATCTGAGGAAAATGATTAATAGTCACTGCTCACACATTACCTGGAAAAATATACAATTGAAATTCTTTCCCTTTCAGGCTCAATCTTTTCTCTATCTGAGTCAAAAGCGGAATTTTGTAAAGTCTACCCAGAGAGAAATAAAGAAATTGTCAAGCTCACTTTATCTATTCGAGACAAGCAAGATGACATTGAGCTTTTGGAAGGATTGCAAACATCTGAGTTACAAAAATTTCTAAGTATAATCAATGATAGCTCAGAAATACAGCCATCATTAAAACTATTATTAGAAAGAGGTTATGGAAAATTAGATGTTTTCTTTTACCATTTGAAAGAAAGTGACCCCAATTGTCCTGTAGGGGTTGCCTTAATTATTTGCAACAAGTTTTCAAGTAAAACGAAACCACGATTAATTGCTGAGGCTGAAATGGTAGACCTTGTAAAAACTTTTGAAACTTTAAATTACCATGTAACAACACTACCTGGACCTAACTACCCCACAATCCTCACGAAACTTGAAAAAGTTGTTGAGCTAGTTCATGAAGACCACAGTAACTTCGTCTGTTGTATCTGTTCGTACGGTGGCCGTGATGAACAGAATGGTAAAGAGTATATTGTCGATACTAATGGTGAACACTTTTATCTACAAGAAACTGTAGAGAGGATATTTTCTAGTTGTGAAGCACTTCGAAATAAACCAAAAATATTCTTTATTCAAGCATGTCGAGGTCCCCAATCAGATCAACAGCAGCAGAAAAAAGCAAAGCCAGCAGAAGTGTGCAACACTAATGTGCATCCCGGAGACATTCCTTCTTGGGACTTTCTCTTTGCCTACTCTACTGCACCTGGTTGTCTTGCTTTCCGACCACCTACTTATGGCGATCCCGAGAAGCCATACTTTATATCTGAGCTATGCAAAGCGTTGATGAGTTTCCACAAACAACTGGACATAATCTCCATACTGCAAAAGGTAAACTGTGTTTTGGACAACAATACATGGGATAATGAGGGTGAAAAAGTACAACAGGTTTCTTGGATAAAAGCTTCACTTCGTGGTCCAGTTTTTGTTAGTTATAAAGCTTTGATTTCATTCCTAAAACCTTATTGTTGTATTCATCCTTGAATTCACTCTGAGTATTGCTACATAATTATGTTGTACTCATCATTACTGTGAGGCAACTACCACTAATGACACCACTACCAACTCACTACTGAGATTTTAAGCATCAGTGCACCCCTTAGCCTCTGCAATCAAGACCTTCCTAACTTGGCAGCTGTTTCATTGAATGAAAGTAGCTTCTAAACTGGGGGCTAGTGCTAGGATTCATCATTGCTAGGTTTGGTCCAGTGTAAACATCATCACTCAACCATCCACACATGGGATGGCTCTAGTCTGGGGTAGCCTGCCTATTTCACACGAAATAGGCAGGCTATATACGCCAGATTAGGATGGCTCATGCATGCGTGCCGGTGTCGTGGTACATTTTATCCCCCCGATATTCTATCCGGGCGGATAAGGAATCCTAGGATATTTTATCCGAGTATATTTATCCATTCTTATCCCACACCCACCCGGATTTTTTTAATCCATGCTAGGCAAGCACTCTCTCGAGCCAGTAGTTTGCCTAGGTGTGCTGGAGGGTTTGATTAGAGCGAGAGAGGAAGCGCGCAATCAGGCCACAGACGATCTGCCAGTGCGCTTTGCAGATAGCTTCCACCTTCAAATACAGCACAGCCTGTTCAATTAATCGTCCCTGAAAAAGACGAGCCTCTCTGTCGTGAGGACTTTCGACGGCAGGGCATACATAGATAGAAAATTCGAGCCAAACACACGATTCTCTGTCTGTTTTTCTTCGACGAAGAACACTATCCTCCGCGGATGAATCAGCCAACTGGTGTAAGAGGATGGATAAAAAATTCCGCACAGTATCTCGAAGCGCGTAATATATCAACGCATGCGCACTAAGACGACGTACGGTGCGTCGTATATATATACGAGCCGAAGACACGACTAGTTGGGCTCGCTCCGCTCGCCCAACTAGTAGGCGAATGCAGGGCATTTTTGGCGAGCGGGAGCGAGCACACAATGACTGTCTCGACGGCAATTCGCCATGTCCGATAGCTTCGGATCTGTTGGCGCCTGGCCTGTTGCGTTTCCTCAGATTCCGCATAATCGTGTAGCTCTTGCTCGTACACGACTTCTCGCTAGTCGTGCTTCCCTCTCTTCCGCTGTTTCCGTGGGCCAGGCGTTGCCTTGCCCGTTCCCTGATCATCGCAAGTCCGCGTCGAGAAGACGCGCCTCTCTTTGCTCAGAATCTCACTGTTCTCTACCCATTCTCGTGACGACGAAGGGAATCTTCTCTAGACAATCATCGCAGATCGATAATGCTGAGCTTGCTAGCTACTACAGCTACAGGGCAGCGGGGCAGCGATTGCACA